CGTTGTCGGCTTAGACCAGTCCGTGTAGGATCTGTGATGAAGATAATGGCGTGGGGGCAGATTCCTCGGATTCTCCTGCCAAATATGTCTCCACCAGCATTCCATTTCCTCATATATCACCAGGGGCTAGTACAATGGGCCCACTTGGCGACCCTGTGTGCCAGCATAGGGACTCTGTCTCATAAAAAATTGTACGCTTAAAAGTTAAATATGAACTCGCTCAGTTGAGCCAACTGCAAGTCCACGAATAACTATCAAAGTTCCCTCAACTGTCTCTCCTAACGACGGGTTTATTCTGTGGCCGACAGATGAAGCTGGGCCGCTTGATATTGGAGTGACGTACCACCGCCTGGCGTCAAAATACGGGATCGATGCTGAGCGAATTAGAAGAAACCGACAATCTGATGAGACGCAGGAGCTGAGGCCTCTGAAACTGGGGCACAGGATCTGCGGGCGGAACAGCCTGCGCAAGGGGAAGTAACCCAATTACGCTTCACACATGCGTCGCCCGCGCCATTTGTCCGTATCGCATCCGATAATCGGAGTTGAATACCTCTAAAAATCATTTCTATGTCTTTAACTGATTTACGTAGAAATGATTATACGTGTCCCCTAGATTTAACCCACTGGCCCAAGGCTTTTGTTTCCGCGCTTCCTCGCCAGAGTGCGGTAACTATACACTATGACAAACTGTTACAAAGAGTTAGGTTTTTCTTGCACAGAACAGCACGTAAAAACACCACTGGTTATTTCGCTATTGCATAATTTTTATTCCTTGAGGCAAGATTTTCTTCTGAATATTTAAAATTTCAGTTTCTTCATCAAAGGTCACAGGTTGAGGCTCCGTTACAAAGTTCAAATGGTTAATGTAATTTGGAGAGATAATTTCTGTTCATTTTGAAAATCGCAATAAGTTCATTGCGTAAACAAAACGAAGCATCAGATGAAGCATGAAGAACCCATTCCTCATTCCCTGCAAGGAATTCTTCCCCTCTCGCTCCCACTTTAGACCATAGGCCTGGTTTCCCAGTTTTACTGATCATTTTTACAGACGGTAGGACTCCCTGGACGGGTGATCAGCTCGTCTCAAGGCCTCTACCCAAACACAGGACAACACAGAATAAACGTATACACACACCAAACACCCATGCCTTGTGTGGGATTCGAATCCATGATCCCAGCTTCCGAGCGAGAGAAGACAGTACATGCCTTAGACCGCTGGGCTACCGTGACCGACGCGAGGAATTTAAGTTCATATAAATATATCCCTCGATTTCTCCGTACTAGAAGAGAGAATCAGGAGCGTATACAGAGCTAGGAATTCAAAGTTTGTGTACTAACAGGTGGACAAGCGAGTACTGCTCAATGTCGAAACACGAAATTGATTATCCTTCTCGTTTATAAGTTTATGTTTTGTAGGCGTGAGATGTTTATCCAGAGGATCCGTCCAGGTCCGAGGCTTTGTGTGCCTTTTCGTAACAAGGTAAATTTTACGGTGAGATTATAGCACCACGCCCAATCCCCCAGCTGGAGGACCACCCCTTATCGGCTGCCCGCGACTGCTTATTCAACTTATTCGCAGCTTACCTCCTTGGGAAGTATAATTAGAATGATCAAGTCAAGTCGGATGAGGTGGGCAGGGCATGTAGCATGAATGGGGAAGAAAGGGAATGCATATAGGATATTGATGGGAAAGCCTGAAGAAAAGAGACCACTGGGAAGACCAAGGCGTTGGTGGGTGAACAATTTTAAATTTAATCTTAGAGATATAAGATAGGATGGTATAGATTGGAGTGATCTGGCTCAGGATAGGGACCCGTGGAGGGATCTTGTGAAGACGGTATTGAACCTTCGGGTTCCATAAAATGCTGGGAAATTCTTCAGTAGCTGCAGATTTGACGGATCCTCAAGAAGGACTGAGCTCCATAAGTAAGTAAGTAAGTAAGCGTGAGATGTACGATTGTCATTACCCAATTTCGGTTTATCATAGCAACGAATTTTCTAGCGTTAACATGTTGCACGATGGTAAGTTGCGCAGAAGCTTACGAACGAAAGAGCAGTCATTTGTTGCAGCCTATCGTTATCTATTTTGTGAATATTCCTGACACCATCATATATACATGTGAAGTGCAACACACTGTGTAAAGACAGCTTACGATTAACTATTTGTGTTGTTATTCGAGGCAGCTGGCGTTAAACGTCGGCCTCGGCGTACGATTCGATAACACGCAGGAGTCGAAGGAGTGACGAAGAAAGCAGAGGAAGTGAATAAATAGTACACATCTTACTTAACAGATGGCGAGAAATCCTGCTGAATTCTTAACGACCGTTACACTAGTTCCTTATCCAACGTGCTATTCTTAAATGCTTCAGGTGCGGACACTCTACAAGTGAAGAGAAAAATAAAACGAAAAAGGTGTTGGTGAGGAAAGTTAGGGTGCGATCAGATGAGAGACAGATCAGCTATGAGACTGGCGGCCCCCTAACCTGTGGGACCAATGCGCAGAACTCATGGTGCACATACAGTAGCATGTACCGAAGTCTGCACGACTGTGAACATTTGGTTTGGGCCATGACACTATGCAGTTCTGTTGGTGACAACCAAAATTTCGAAGGAACCTGCCGTCTCCATCTTCAGTGTAGGAGTCCCCGAGCGCTAACTGTCTACACGAATGCATGGTATGAACCCAGAAGAGCTCAATATAAATAAAGCCTCTGAAGATACTGTGGCATGTCTGATGAAAGCAAGAATTCTGCACCTGTCAACGATATTGCGTTTTCGACGTTTAGCCCTCGCATGTCGTACACAATTAGACGACAGTGTGACAATTTACGTAGATCATCACATATACCTGACGATGGCCCTGTGCGGTCGAAGCTTATCGTAGATTAAGTGGTGCTTTCGAATAAGACCGGTGAGACTGCACTGAAGACTGTATTGTATGTGTGTGTGTGGTGTGCATATTATGGTATGTAGACCCGTTGTTAGGCAACGACGTTTCCTCTGCCCTATATGCAATTGCTGTCTTCTGTAATTTGACAGTGGTACAGATATGACATCTACGCAGATATGCTTCAGAATCTGGTGCCCCATATCGAGATTAGTATGAGAGAATGTAGCTATATGTTCTGAATTTCACTGCAATTGCAGGCAGATTGCAAGCACTATGTTCGCAATGTTAATGTTATCACGCCTACACGTGTCAGAAGACAAGTTCAGGTCTCCACACTATAGACTTGCCTACTGTGGTGACACATATTTCCGGTCACTCAAACTTGATGTAAGACAGGGTAGTTGCTCTCTGCTCAGAAATAAGAGACACGTCATAAGTCGCAAATGAATTAGTCTCCCCTTAAGAAATGACTACAGGGGATAATTGCGTCCATGGAAAAATTTAACAGGTTTGAACTGTCACAACTTACGTATCAGAAACAATTCAATCTCTGTTCGTGGTGCTATCTGAAGCAAAGAAAATAAAACACAATGTCCGAGTGATAAAATTCTTACCATAATAATTACTTAGTTTATTGATTATCAATATAATAAACCCTCGATAATCCGGTTACAGTTAAACCGGGTAGAAATATGAAGAATGCTGTTCACGGTTTAAAAGGAACGTGAAGCACAATAGATCACTGAAGGTCGCAGTGCGAGGGCCGGTTTCTATGGCTTACCCTCATATTCATAAAAGGCACGTGGCATTTAGGAAGGCAGATGAGTCACCTGTCTGTTAAGACAAAACTTAACAAGTTTCTTCAAACCTGCATTGTTACGTTCAGAAAAAAAGTATGAATTCTGGGTCGTCTATAGACGAACAGTGTATTGCCTTTTTATAGTCTTTAAATAAAGGCTCTGCAGTGGTATTTTGTTATTTATTTTCAGAAGCATTATTTATATTGTAAGATTTGAGGCTTTCACGGCGGTGACTATGAAGAAAGCAGTCTTCTGGGATTTGGCACCGTGTATATGTGGTGTTAACCGACGTTTCGGAGGAACGTATCGCCCCCATCTTCAGGGTAGAAGAAAAAGTATAAGAA